GAAGACCAAAATTTTGTGGACATGCCCCCTGCCCACGTGCGACCCAGAAAATTTAAATTCAGCCTTCCCCTGCCCACGGATAAGACGAACGGCTCCGTGAAGATCTTGGTGGGTAAATATTATCTCGGGAACCACGAAATCCAGGAAGATTTTAGGTGATGATCCTAGCCTACGTACGATCTCACAAATTCAGATCCAGCGTTCCTGCATTCTCGGATATCACCTATGGCCTTGCAAAAATTTTGGCGGGCAAATTATTATCTCGGGAACCAAGGGATTTAGGAAGCCGAAGTTTTAGGGTAATGAGCCCTTCCCACGTACGATCTCGCAAACTTAAATTCAGCATATGCCCAAGTATCATTTACGGCCCCGTGAAAATTTCGGTGGGGAAAACTGTTATCTTTGAAACCACAAAAGTTGGAATTTGAAATTTTAAGGCGATATTCCCTGTCAACGCACGACCCCCTCAAATCTAGATTCAGCCTTAGGTGCCACGTACGGCTCCGTGGAAGTTTTGGCAAGGAAGTTGTCTCGTGGAACTGCAAAAGCTGGAAAGCTGAAATTTTAGCGTGGCATCCCCTGCCCGCATACGACTCCGCAAATTTTCAGTGTTCCTGTGGAAGTTTTGGCGGGAAAAATCATTGTCTCGAGAGCCAGGAGAGTTAGGAGGCTGAAGATTTCAGGAGAATGTTTCTTACCTAAGCAGGGACTTCACAAACCTCGAATCCAGTCCCGAAATGTGTCGATGTCTCACGTACGGCCACGTGAATGTTTTGTCTCAAAGATTATTCGAGAGCCAGAAAATTAGGAGATTGAGATTTTGGAACGATGAGGTTTCCCTTTGAGGTTTCAAGTCCAGATTTCACGGACCAGTCCGTGAAACCTTTAACTATTTTTCAACCTTTCAACTATTTTTACACAGACCAAAGTGCGAAGCAATGAAGATCATTAACAGCCAATCGTTCGGTAGACGGAATTGCGCAAAACGCATGATTGCATGGGTTGTTCTGGTGGGCGCTGCTATTTATTATGCGTTTTGTGCTGTATAACAGCATTACAAAACGCATATTGACACGGGGCTGCCTGTGTGTGTGTGTGTCCGTAGCAATTTTTCCGCAACTTCCAACTCGGGAACTACAAAAGCTAGGAAACTGAACATTTAGGGGAATGTTTCCTACCCACATGTGACCTCGCAAATTTAAATTCAACCTCCCCGTATCCAAGGCCAACACGTACGGCCCCGTAAAAGTTTTGGC